GAATGTCAGTTTGAGAGACACCCCTGATGCCAGTGTCCCCCTTCATGACAGGGGGTTGGAACTGGATAATCTTAAGGTTCTTTACAACCCAAACCATTCTGTGGTTCTATGATTCTATCTCACCATTGAAACTGGAGAAGGAAAAGGGTTTTCACCAAGTTTTGGGACTTAGGGTGTCCCTCTGAGAAAAGCACTTGTTATTCTCTGGGAGACAGCAGGGAGGGCACTGCTATTTCCCAGGTACCTGCAGGTAACTCAGCACAGAGAGTGGCCCTTTGGGCTTCCCAAAGAAGGGGATTCACTTCCCATCACAGTAACTCATCTGTAAAATGGAGAAAATGAGAATGATTCCAGGGCTGTGAGGCTGAGGAGGGATGTCAGCACTTCCTTGCTTCCACCACTGCTTCTGCACAAGGCAAGCTTTCAGACCAGCATCTTCCTCAAGGACCGAGACCACAGATTACATGAAAAGAGATCCAAGCCCTTCAGTTATTCACTTTCATGTTAAATTCCACAAATACTTCATGCTGTCCTCGGGGCAGCTCTGAACCACAGGAGCTGCCAGCTGAGCTGCTCTCAGAGGAGGGCAGCAGAGTCCCCCAGATGCCAGCACATCCTGCCACAGAGAGCAGGACATGAGGTTGTGTTGTTTCGTGTTAGAGTCCTCAGGAACAACCAAACTGCTCCCAACAGCTCCAGCAAATGTCTCACCTGGTGCTTTTTTGTTCCCCTGCCATGTGTGGGGAGGAGGGCTCAGGCACTGAGCTCTCTCAGTGGCCTTCCCTGTGCTGATGTCCTGCTAGGTCCGGATCTCATGCTAAGGCATCATGCTGCCTTCCCTGCTTTACTCTCCCACCCACCCAGAGCAAGTCACCCCTATAAGGGGGGCTCCAGGGGCAGGGAGCTGCAGCACACCCAGGGATGAAGAGATTTCCTGCAGGAAGGACCCTGGTATAGGCCAAGTGCTCCAGGTCCATCCCTTCCCCTTGCAATTGTACCCATTCTCCTAACGCATAGTGTGGCAGCCTACCAGTTGCATGGCCAGATGTGATAACACTCCCACCAGATGTGTGCCCATGTCCTTCTGCATATCATGGGGTACAATACAGAGCAGGTTCCACCCAGAGACTAAGAGAAGTCAGATCTCCATGGGGATTTTTTGAAGAAGCAAGGATTGTTCCCTCCATTTTTGTCAGAAAGGAATCAGGTCTAAGGGTAAACCAACATTTCACAGCCTACAGCAGAATTAAAACCAAGTCCCATGTTTTAAACTATGATCTCCCCACTGTTGATAGCAGTTCCCAGGGTGGCACCAGAAACCCCACATTAGACAGATGTGAAGCAGTGGAACAACACCCTCCCCTTAAGATACAGGCACACAGACCAGCACAATTAAAGCTGGTTAATACAAGAACTAGCTCTTCATCTAATTTCGCTGTAGACTTTGTTGCCTGCTTGCTGGAACGAGCCATGGAAAAAGCCCACAGAGCCTTACCAAGGAGCCTGAGTCCTACCTGCAGGGATCAGACCAGTGCTCCTTCTCCACAGTGTCCCACAGCTGGCTAAGGGATGGGGGTCAGGACCACACTTATGAAGTTGGGTCCGGGTGGTGAGACAGGGCCATGGCTTAGCTGAAGCTGGCAGGTTTAGACAAGATCTTAGGCAGAAGTTCTTCCCTGTGAGGGTGCTGAGGCGCTGGCACAGGGTGCCCAGAGAAGCTGTGGCTGCCCCATCCCTGGCAGTGTTCAAGGCCAGGTTGGACACAAGGGCTTGGAGCAACCTGCTCTAGTGGAAGGTGTCCCTGCCCGTGGCAGGGGGTTGGAACTGGATGAGCTTTAAGGTCCCTTCAATACAAACCATACTATGATTAAGGCTCAGAGCAGCGACTTGGGAGCAGAAAAGGACTGAGGACCCCAGAGAAACAGAGGCAAGGAGTTCCCTGGCTTGGTGCATGCTAAGGACAAAGGCAAGGACCAGTGCTTCCCAGGTTGGCATGTAGGAAAGAGCAGTGACAGCTCCCAGCACTGGTGGAGAAACAAGTGGAAAAGAAAGTGAACACATGGAAAGAGTCTCAGGGATCCAGCGACAGAGTGGAAGTCCCCAGCATCCAAACCACAGCTGGAAGAGATGGCAAACTCATCCAGGGACACTGAGGAGCTACAGAGAAACATCTTGTGGGAGCCAGGCAGAGCATGGACCAGGAGTTTCACCAACCTAAGGAGCTAGGATCTTCCCTAGGGAAGAGAGGGCTGCGCAGCCATCAAGAGCCACACGTTTTATGGCCTTTGTGGAAAATTCCAGCCCTGCTTAATCTCCTGGGGCTCCTGTAAGGTTGTGGCACAGAGAAAGGGACCAAACAGGAAAGAATTAGAGGGAAAATGCCTCTCTTTTGGCAGCTCCCATGGCTGTGCCAGGAGTTAGCAGGAGCGGCTCGTGCCAGGAGTTAGCAGCAGCGGCTCGGAGCAGCCAGCCCTGCCTCCCCCTGCTCCGGCCGCCTCTATAAACACTCAGAGCTTACTCAGAAGATTAGAAGGGAACAGGGCAAAAGACAACAGAGTCTCTTTTGTAACGAGGAAGGATTATGGCATCAAGTGACCGGCTGCAGCTCCCAAGTGGGTTTCAGGCTCCTTAACACACCGTGTCTGTCAGGTTCAATCCCTCCATGAGCCAAGGGGGCACGAGGAGGTGGGACGTGGTGTGGGCCACAAAGGACCCAGCGAGGACACGTGTGGGACCAAACCTCCACAGCCTCCAGTGCAGCTCAGGAGCCCATGACTGTAAGTATCTTGTCCTCCCAAGAGCAAGTAGATTCCTTCAAAGATCTATTCTCTTGCCTATCTGTGACCTCCTCTCGTTTGTCTGCTCCATCATTTGTCTGCTCCATCTGCTTGTTCCCCATCTCTGCTCATGTCTATTTGCTGCCTTACGTGGTGGGTAACGCACCTGAAGCAGGCTTGTTGTTGAAGAATCCTGGTTGCTGGGGATTCCCATAGTCTGATTAGTGTCAGTTGACCTTCAGGAGCAATGGTTAGTCCAGACAGATCAGGCAGTGTCAGGCAGCAGGTCGCTGGGGTGCTGGTACCACACAGGAGATGGCTTTTGATGGTTCTTCCTCCCCATAGCTTGCTGGTGTGGCAGTGCTGATGCTGCAATGAGCCACAACCCACCACATACCTCAACCCCAAACGGTACTTTGAGTGTGCCAGTGGCATCCCAGGGCAGTCCCACACAGGCAGTCAGGGAATTGCCTTTAACCATTCAGAGCAGGAGGAAAAAGCCCTGGGAAAAGCCCCATATCCCATGCTGGAGCAGCACTGCACAGAAGCTGGTGATATCCACTATTTAGATGGACAGGAGCTGAAGTTTTCCATGTTTGGTAAAAAGTGAATCTGTATTTGACTTACGCAACGAAGAGTCTCCCTGAGCACTTTCAAGACCCAAAGTGGAGAGGGAAGAGCCAGTTTTCTGTAAGCATATATGTGTGTGCAGTCTCCAGGTCTGCCCTGTGCACTGCCCAGAAATACGGGAACAGGGCACAACAGGTACCAGCCCTACTCCTCCAATATAACCATGGGAGGTGACTTGAGGGGAGTGACAACAGGCAAACCCAAAGGAGGAGCAGCACCGAAAAGCCATGGCCAGGACAAAGGTGCTATTTGATATAGGCTTTGCTGTTTTATTTCACAGCACCAGCTCACCAGGACCTCAGTTTCTCCCCTAAGTGTAGGTCTTTCACTAAGATGCTTAAATAAGGAGCATGGACACAAACTTACCTGCTTTCAGCTGCTCCTACAGAGCAGTAAGATCTGAATTGTCCCTCGAAGTGCTTCTTTGCCTCCACCATTCAGGCCCCATAACTATTAACATTATCACCTCTGTTAAACAGCAATGTCTGCCTAACATCCTGGTAACCTATTAAGATGTAGAAATACCAGTAGTCTTACACTGGATAATTATTTCTAAACCAAGGGATCATTCACCTCCCTGCCTGGCATGGATTAAACTGGTGATTTATATTAACTGCTCTGATTATTAAGTGCTGATAAAGAATTACTTGGTTACTCTCCTGGGGTAATGGTTGGACTTGATGATCTTAAAGCTCTTTTCCAACCTGGTTGATTCTATGACTCTATTCTATTTCTCTAAGGTTAAACTAGAAGTGCAATGGGGATGCTGCAGGATTGGGAAGCATTTCACAAGCCTAAATGCCTTTTTATATCCACTGTGATTTATTGTGGAATGGATGGTTGAAGGAGAGGGGGTGGAGTTGCTGGAATTTGTGGCCAAACTCCAACCCTCAGCTCTCTAACAGGGAGAGCTGTTCTGCCTGTGGAAATGGGACCAGCATAGTTCAGATGTGGCTCTCAGCCCAAATTTAACAGCTATACTTATTGGGCAAGTGCTACAAAACCTGTCAGATCTCCAGGGGTACCTTCATCTGGACCAGTACCAAGAAATCTCTCCTTTATGGAATTTTTGCTTTCATTTGGTGTTTTTCTGGGGGGTATTTTTTCCCCCAACAAGTAGATTTACAGAACAACGTATTTGAAGCAAAAACTGTAAGAAAACCAAATAATGGGGGTAAGAAACTTTGGAGTTTGTGACCCTGAGAATTTACCTTAAACAACTGTTCTGTGGAGGGAGTTACGTGTGGGCTCTGTCCTTTCCAGCTGCCAGCCCCACTTGAATGCTGACAATCAAACACTAAAAACCAAGGGCTCCATCCGAAAGGATATTCTCTACCATTGTAACCAGCTTACGTGCAGCTCAAAGACAGGGAAAAAGATGGCAAGCTCATCAAATTCATTACATACCATAAATTTCCTCCTGGTTCTCCGTGGCACTGACTTCATCTTACCTGTCTTTTGACCTCAACTTGTTTCTTTCTTCCTTCCTTCCATCTGGCTTGCTTGAGGGCCTGAGGTGTCCCTGTCTCCTGCTTCTGTGCAAGCTTGCTGGCAGCTTCCTCTGCTCATTCTGTGTGTCCACTAGGATCTGTGATGACGGTGACATACACCAACCGCGTGGCTGATGCCCGCCTAGGCACCTTCTCACAGCTTCTGCTCCAGTGGAAAGGAAGCATCTACAAACTGCTCTACTCCGAGTTCCTTATCTTCATCTCTCTCTACTTCACCATCAGTCTTGTCTACAGGTAAGCATCCTTATACCTTAAACACAACCCCTCACTCTCAGCTTGTCCTGGAGCAGTCCAACTGAGCAATGCAGGGTTGGGACAGTGATCCTGGTGAAGAGGACCTGGCCAGCCACTCACCAGCCCCTGTGCACAGGACGAAAGGATCCTCATGGATCCAATGTGGCTTAGAAGCTGATAAATCTCTTTTTTCTGTCCTGGGAAGTAACAGAGTTTCTCTTGCATGTGGTGAAGAGTTCCATTTGATGATTACCTACAGAAGGAGAATGTCTAGATCAGTGGAGACCATGGCTGAACTAGTAGAGGAGATGGCCCACAGCCAGGAGCTTTAGGAGAGAGTTTCCCTTGTTACACAACAGGGAATGCTTTGGGTACATTTCTGAGAGCTGACATCAGCTCTGGGACCACAGATCTGTAATGTGGCAACTGCACTGTGTGGCTGCTCTGGTTCTCATAGAATCATAAAATCACAGCCTGGTTTGGGTTGGAAGCTCATCAGGTTCCAACCCCTGCCACGGGCAGGGACACCTTCCACTAGAGCAGGTTGCTCCAAGCCCCTGTGTCCAACCTGGCCTTGAACACTGCCAGGGATGGGGCAGCCACAGCTTCTCTGGGCACCCTGTGCCAGCCCCTCAGTAAGTGCATCACTTACACTCTATCAGTGACCACGTCTGGCTCCTTTGGGCTGATCAGCAGGGTATTTTGGGAGGTGGGCTCACGAGGGGTGTTCATCCACAGCATCCCCAGACTCATGGAGTAGCAGTGTCCTGACTACCCATCCTTGACTTCCCTTGTCAGGTTCCTGTATCCCAGCAGGCCCAGCAAGGCACAGACTCTTCTTTGAGGCTGATTCTTCTGTTTCTCCCTTTTAGGCTGATCCTGAATGAGAGCCAAAGGCTGATGTTTGAGAAGCTGGCGCTCTACTGCAACAGCTATGCTGAGCTAATCCCTGTGTCCTTTGTGCTGGGTAAGGAGCTCTGCCTGGGAACACACAGGGAGGGGAAAGACACAGCACTTCTTCTTCCTGGTTTGATATCGCTCTGCAGGCAGGCAGGATTCGCTCAGCAGATCCCTCCCTCTGCCTTTGCAAACCTCCTCAAGCATCATTTCATGATGCAGCTGTGAGGTATGTCCCCAGCACACAGCTTGCACTGGCCAGATGTGCTGCCATGCTCTGGGCTCTGCCAGGAGGGCAGACACCAAGTAGCACCAAATAAACCTTGAAACCCAGACTTTAACTTCAGCATGGAGATCTGGATTGCATAGAATCATGGAATGGTTTGGGTTGGAAGGGAGCTTAAAGCTCCTCCAGCTCCAAGCCCCTGCCACGGGCAGGGACACCTTCCACTAGAGCAGGTTGCTCCAAGCCCCTGTGTCCAACCTGGCCTTGAACACTGCCAGGGATGGGGCAGCCACAGCTTCTCTGGGCACCCTGTGCCAGTGTGTCACCACACTCATGCCTGCACCCATCCCCATATGAGCAGAACCAGATGCCCTATACACGAGCATCGACATCTCCCACCCCGTTAGGACAGCTCGTGTGCTCATCTCACCTCTAGGTTTCTATGTGGCTCTGGTGGTGTCCCGCTGGTGGGCTCAATATGAGAGCATCCCATGGCCTGACCGGATCATGAACTTGGTTTCCTGCAACGTGGATGGGGAGGACGAGTACGGGCGGCTCCTGCGTCGCACCCTCATGCGCTACAGCAACCTGTGCGGCGTCCTCATCCTGCGCTCAGTGAGCACCGCTGTCTACAAGCGCTTCCCCAGCATGGAGCACGTCGTGAGGGCAGGTCAGTGCTGGTCCTGCCTTCTGCACAGCTCTGGCATCATGCAGACAGCACCATCTTGCTGCTGGTTTCGGGGCAAAAAGCCTTGGAAAGGGCTTTGTGACCTGAAGGTGGAAGGGTGCTGTAATGTGCTCAGCTGATGTCTGCAGCAGTGCTTGATCTGCTCTTCTGAAATCATCAATGGTTGATGTTTGTCTATTGCACGGCATGTTCCTAAGAGTGGCTGGAAGGTTTGTTTGAAAGATGAAGGGTCTCTACCCGAGTTTTTGTACATAAGGAGAGTGTCAAGATCCTGTTTGTCGGTGCAGAGATGCTGCAAGTCACAGGGTAGCCCTGGCTGGTTAGATAACGGTAATGAGGCGCAGTAACTTCACTGGGAGCTGCTCACCCTGCTCTGGAAGCAGGAAGAGAATTGCTCTCTGTAGTAAAGTCACATTCTTTCTGCTGCCTGGAGTGAGAACTATAGCAGAGCACAAGCTGACCCCTGCCAAGTGCAATGTTCATCCCCCCTCAGGGCAACAGTTTTCCACTGGGCAGGTAGGAACTGGAGCCTCACACCTCAAGTGCTGGACTTCCTGAATCCTCTCTGGAGATGCTCTTCAATGTATGACCTTTCCCAGCCTGCCCAAAAGGAGATGTCAACTAGAACCCTACTCAACTGGCTTCCTTTTGCAACCCAGAGAGAGAAACAGGCACTTCTAGGACACAAGTTAACCCATTCTCAACAAACTCTACATACACCAAACAATTACACCCTCAGCAGTTCTTTATCTCCCTGCTGACTGTGATCTGGTCAGATATGCTGCAGATAAATGAAATGAGATAAAGCCTGCTTCTTAAACTTCTATAACTCAGTGTTTTAACAAGACTCATCCTCCTTCTACATGTCTCCCAAAAGCTGAGTGCCCAAGTATTTCATGTGATTTTTAAGGGGAGCCAAGGTGACCATTTAAGATTCAGACATTTTCATTTCAGATCGGATCAATTCCTTTCTGCCCTTTACAGCCATCCTTCTCCCATCTATTGTTTTCCACCCAGGCCTCATGACACCAGAAGAGCACAAGAAGTTTGAGAGCTTGAATTCCCCGCACAACAAGTTTTGGATCCCGTGTGTGTGGTTCTCCAATCTGGCTGTGAAGGCAAGGAACGAGGGGAGGATCCGGGACAGCGTGCTGCTCCAAGGCATCCTGAATGTGAGTGACAGGGAATAGGTGACTGTTTGGGATCCTCACCTGATCCTCTATGTGGAATTACAGGGATTTCAGAGTCAGGCAAGGAATAGGAATGATGAGGTAGGACAGTGAGCCAAGCCTGTCCCTAGGGGTATTACACTGGAGGCCTCTAGGATTCAAATGGAAAGCCGCAAGGAAACATGTATCTGGAAGAGACCAGGAGAGGTCAAAAGCATCCCCAGCAACCAAGGTCTCTTTGGAAAACTTCTCTATTGAAAACTCTTAGGTAGTCCTGGGAATCAGGCTATGTTCCACAAGACCTGGCAACCATCCCTGCCCAGCTGCACAGAAAAAGGGTCCAGAGCAGCTTATCCTTCCTGGTATTCATGTGCAGAGAAAGTCACATTCTTTCTGTTGCCTGGAGTGAGATGTCTCCCTCTGGGCTATTTATCCAGACTCACTGTATAGTCAGGAGAGAGAAATGGATGCTCCTGAGACATTCCTTGCCTAACCTGTTGGCTGCTCATTTTGGGAGGAGATAATCTCTGCTATGAGTTCCTCCGGGGCAAGCACGAGACCCTGGTGACGATCTGCTGGCGTGAGGATGAGTTCCCCTTCCAGGGGAGGTGTGAGGAGGTGGAAGTGGGCTGGAGGAATGAAGGGCAGTGGGGCTGGAGAGGCTTAGTGTCCCCAGCAAGGAGATGCAAAGCTATACTGACAGGCTCTTCCTTTCCCTCACTGCAGGAGCTCAACACCTTGCGCAGCCAATGCGGGCGACTCTACGGGTACGACTGGATCAGCATCCCCTTGGTCTACACTCAGGTGAGAAGGGTTTCCCACACCTATTGTAGAATCATAGAATCAAACAGGTTGGAACGGACCTTTAAGCTCACCACATCCAACCATTATCCCAGGGCTGCCAAAACCACCACTAAATCCTATCACATATCACTGCTCCAGTGCCTGCTTGTTGCAGGGATCACATCACTGGAGCAGAGCTGAGATCCATCTGCCCAGCAAAGCTGCTACAAGCAGGCAGGGCAGCTCTGATGGAGTCGTGCCACGTGTGGGAGAGCTGCGTGCACGTTCTCAGGTGTCTAATAGCTCCCTGGATGCAAACCCAGACAGACGCTTCGGCTCCTTTGTCGGATACAATCCAGCTGCTCAGATAACACTAATGCACTGCACAGTGAAAGGGGAACAGCTTCCACTCACGTGGCACTGCAGCTTAATGGGGAACACGCTGGAAAACTACCCCTGCACAGCCCCGTGTCCTGCACGCTAGGAGCAAAAGCAATATCATAGCACATCTTTGCAGTACACAACCCATTCTTTTCCTAGGTGCCCATCCACACTGTCATTCCAGTCCCTCTCTATCCTGCCCATCACAAAACACCCCTGCAAGGAACTGTGTGGCTAGCTCGAGAGTCGCGTGATGCTGGGTGCTTTCGTTCTGAGCCCTCTTTCTTGTTGCATGTAGAGACCACGCAAGAGCCTCAAGCTGCTTTTAATCTGAAAAGGGGAAGTTTCCAGTCCCGTGATTGCAGAGAAAAGCACAAAGCTCATTGCAGCCTGAAATCTGGGCAAGCAGGCAGGCAAATATGAAAGGCCCAGTGTGAGGAGCAGGAAGGAAGGAGCTAGTTCAAAGCAGCACTACCAGGTTCCTCTGCCTGAGCTGGAAGCAGCCCTGACAGCATGGGCTGAGCCATGAGAAGCTGGAGACAGCTTTCAGGAGAGGCAAGGACAGGAATGAAAAGAGCTCACAGCACCTCTTAGCTCAGCAGCAGAACCACCAGGCAGCCATGTGCCAGTCCTTTCAGCTCTTTCCATCCAGGATGTCCCTTGCTTTCTTTCTGTGATGCCTACACAGATGTCATTCCAGAGACAGCATGGAATGAAATACAGCATATTTCATGTTGCATATGTGTATTTCATATTACATAGCAATGTAATACCTAAGGGGCAAAGAGCATATGTAAAGTCAAAATGCACCTTCCTGCAGAAAGCAGAGGAGAAGCCTGTCATAAGCAGATGCTCTTTAAGGCCCATTCCAACCCAAACCACTCTTTGATGCTATGATAACTGAATCCAAGGCTTTCAAAAGGCTATAGATCCAGCAGCTTGTTGCTGTTTGGAGGTGAGTGGGGTGCAAGTGAAGAGGCTGGGAACTCAGGCTGGGAACTCAGGCTCCTCTGGTGTGTCCCCTGGCATCTTTCCCAGGTGGTGACCGTGGCTGTTTACAGCTTCTTCTTGGCCTGTCTGATTGGGCGGCAGTTCCTGGATCCCGAAAAGGCGTATCCTGGCCATGAACTAGATCTCTTCGTGCCCGTCTTTACGTTTCTGCAGTTCTTTTTCTATGCTGGCTGGTTAAAGGTAAGTCCAAGAAAATACATCTGCATCTGGAACCTGATGCAGCCTCCTGCTTTAACCCACACCTTTATAGGAGGAACAGCATTGCACTGTTCAAGGGATATCATGCTTGACTTCTCCCTAAGGGGAAAGGGGCAGGGATGACCATGGTGACCATTGCTATGTGCCCTCCACATGCAGGTGGCTGAGCAGCTCATCAACCCTTTTGGAGAGGATGATGATGACTTTGAAACCAACTGGCTCATTGACAGGAACCTGCAGGTAAAGTGAAGGCAGGGTCCTCCAGATGAGCCTCACCTGCAGAGGAACACTGAAGCAGGACTGCACCTGAATGGTTAGCAAGCCCTGTCAGTGCAAAGTTCTCCTGCAACACCTTCACCATCCACCTCCTGTGCCTGCAATGGGGTGGAGAAGCAGTGGCCATTACCCCCATGCTTTCCTGAGGTGGCTGCATGTTAAGAAGGGGCCCAGGAGCTCCAGAAGGAGATGACAAGGAGAGCAGGAGAGCCTAAGGCTTCCCAGAAAATATGAGGGTGAAGGGGGACAGCTCAGTGTTCCCCCTCAGTGGGAGAAGGCTCCTGAAGGAGAGGCCACAGAGCAGCTCCAGTGCCTAAAGGGGCTACAAGAAGCCTGGAGAGGGGCTTTGGACAAGGGATGGAGGGACAGGATAAGGGGAATGGCTTGAACCTGCCAGAGGGGACATTGAGGTGAGCTCTTGGGCAGAAGCTCTTCCCTGTGAGGGTGCTGAGGCGCTGGCACAGGGTGCCCAGAGAAGCTGTGGCTGCCCCATCCCTGGCAGTGTTCAAGGCCAGGTTGGACACAGGGGCTTGGAGCAACCTGCTCTAGTGGAAGGTGTCCCTGCCCGGGGCAGGGGTTGGAGCTGGGGGAGCTTTAAGGTCCCTTCAATCCAAACCGTTCCATGATCGTATGTGTAATGTCACTCACCTCATGTGATGCTTCTGCTGTCCTCTGCAGGTCTCTCTTATGGCAGTGGACGAGATGCATCAGGATTTACCCATTCTGGAAAAGGACCTATACTGGAACGAGCCTGATCCTCAGCCTCCCTACACCGCAGCCACCGCTGAGTACAAGCGCCCATCGTTCCTTGGCTCAACTTTTGATATCAGGTGAGCACAGCCATGGGGTGTAAGAACAGCCTGCATTTACACCTTGGAGCAGGTCTTGTGCAGGGTATTGTATCTGAGGAGTAAGAGCAAGCAGTAGTATTTTCCTCCATAGTCAAATCTCACTCTTCCTCAAAATCTCACTCTAAGAGACTTCTAGGCTCATGCAAAGACAATAGCCAACATCCTCCACAGAAAAGGATGCCTCTGACCTCTTTTCCATGCTCTCCTTTACTATGAGCATCCCTATTGTGGGGGGCCTGACGTATTTAGTATCTGAGGAGTAAGAGCAAGCAGTAGTATTTTCCTCCATAGTCAAATCTCACTCTTCCTCAAAATCTCACTCTAAGAGACTTCTAGGCTCATGCAAAGACAATAGCCAACATCCTCCACAGAAAAGGATGCCTCTGACCTCTTTTCCATGCTCTCCTTTACTATGAGCATCCCTATTGTGGGGGGCCTGACGTATTTAGTGGCAGCCACAGG